ATCCCAAAAATAGCTCCAAAATTTTTTTTCGCTTTCGAAACTTTGAAAATTGTATCGAAATATATTTACATTATCGAAAATTTACAGAAAAAATTTTTCAATTTCGAATCTCTATAATTTGCATCAAAATATTTTGATATTATCGAAATCATAAGTACTTCCTTGCGAGTCAGGCTATTTGTCAGTCGATGTAGCAGCACTCCCTTGCGAGTCAGGCTATTTGTCAGTCGATGAAGCAGCACTCCGTTGCGAGTCAGGCTATAAGATAGTCGATGTAGAAACACTCCCTTGTAGCACCAGGCTATAAGATGGTCGATGTAGCAACATTTACGTATGTTTTAAAAATGTTTTTTTAATAAAACAAAAACAAAAACACCACTAATTAAAAAAAAACTTTCTAGTCGTTATTATTGCGGTTTTTTAAAAATTTTTAAAAATATATACATATCTATATCTATATATATATATATATATATATATATATATATATATATATATATATATATATATATATATATATATATATATATATATATATATATATATATATATAGATATATATATATAGATATATATATATATATATATATATATATATATATATATATATATATATATATATATATATATATATATATATATATATATATATATATATATATATATATATATATATATATATATATATATATATATATAGATATGTATATATTTTTAAAAATTTTTAAAAAATATATATAATATATATATATATATTATATATATATATATATATATAATATATATATATATATATAATATATATATATATATATATAATTATATACGAAAAAATAATATATATATATATATATATATATATATATATATATATATATATATATATATATATATATATATATATATATATATATATATATAATTATATACGGAAAAACTATTGTTATATGTAAACACATAAACATGTATTACAAACTTTTTATTCCCTGTGTAATAAGATATTTACATATTTTTTTTTTTTACTAATATATAAACTTCACGGATATAAATTATTTCTGAGGATTTATCGAGTTAAAAGCAATTCATTTATAACTTTAAATTCGTTTATAACCTATAAACCTTAAAATCGCTTCCACTGTTAATTGCTAATAATGGTAACGCAAAAACAGCTTAATGATGCTCTTGAAAACGCTGATAAAATTGCTAAAGAAGAGCTGAAACAAGCTCTTTATGTAATTAAAACCAGAATTGACGAACTTACTAAAAGAATTGATCTGCAGGATATTGAAATCATGTCTTTAAAAGATGGCAAAAGTAGTGAAAAACCTTTGTTATCTAAATTAGTTGAACAAGTCGGCAAACCCGGTACATTAGCAAACGTAGCTGTAGTGAGCGCCTTCTTTAAGCATAACAAGTACGTGACTAACAGAGAAAAGAGAATTGTAGTGTTTGGTCTACCAGAATCTGTTAAAACTCAACCAAGCGAGATAACCAAAGATGATACTGCGGAGTTCAAGAAGGTTATGGCATCTTTAAGTAAATCAGTCAATGTAGTTAGAATTGAACGTTTCAAAAAAAAAAGAACTTTGATTCTAGTAAACCCGCTCCTCTTGTCATTGAAGTTGATTCAGTATTTATCAGAAATGACGTTCTAGCATCGGCTAAACAACTAGCATCGGTTACTTTTAAAGATATGTTTATACGCCCCGACCGCACAGCAGCACAGCAAAGCGAATTTATTAAATTAAACTTAGAAAGAAAAGCAGCTAATTCTGACCTTGACAAGCTTGGAAAACTTGACAAACCTTTTAGATTTGTCATCCGCAGCGATAAATTGCGATGCATTGATGTCTCGCAGGAAGTTGAAATCAATGGACGTGAAAAGCATCCTTTCATCAAATGGAAAGATGCACAAGCAGCCAGAATTGCAAAAACACAATGAATTAAATCGTTTAACTGCGAATACTTATTTAAGTGCATTAAATACAAAAATAAAATCTGCTAAATCTAACCGTAAAAATAAACTTTTAAAATGTTTCAACTTCTCTTAATTTGACTAAAATGAACGAGTTATCTGCGTGTCACATAGTTCAACCGACAAAATCCTGCACCTACAAACTTGATCTACAAAATAAAACATTTACTAAAAAGTGGAAATAATTTTTATATGTTCTACTGAGGCCTAAAATGTTTTCAACCGATTAAAGGCCTTTTTTAATTCGACCGATTTATGACGTTTTCTATTTCGACCGATTTTTTTCTCAACCTATTTCACATACTTTTAATTTCAACCGATTTGTCATAATTTGATTTTCGACCGAATATAAGGGAAATTCATTTCAACCTACTAGTCTTTGTTTTACCGTTTTTCCGATTTAGCTATTGCATTTATAAAAAATCTATCAATAGCAGCTCCAACTTTTGCACTGGACATCTGTCCAACATCTTTATAATGCTATAAACTTACTCTAGCATGATCTTAATTTCTTCCTTCCTGAGGCTCGTACGGACGCACGTGTTCCGAAGAATTTTTTAGGCATTGTTTTTTTAATTTAGAGGTGTCTAATCCACTTCCCGCGGGAATTTGCGCTTGGAGACATTTTCCTTTGGAGATTTCAGGCAGTTAGCTTCTTATAACTATCACGTTTTATCACACAAAATTTAATTTTCTAGTTATTTAATTTCAAAGTGACGTAAATCAAATTAAGTTCATAATTAAAATTATTTTTTAATCGAAAATAGTTTTTAAACAGTTGGTACCAGACTCCTAATAAAGCAAAGTAAAAAAAAGCTTTTGAGTACAAAACAACACTTATTGAAAAAAGTATATAAAAAATGTTCCTTGAAATTACAAAATAATTTTCTATTTAAAATGGCTAAAGTGACAAAAGATCAAACTTTTAAAAATAATTCGCGATAGTTTCGTGATACTCAGAAATGAATGGGAAGAACAATTCTTGTTTATACAAACACCGTTATCAAAGTCTTTTTAATTTTGAGAATATTGCACAGTTAAAAAAATAGAATTTGCACATACATTTTTTCTAATATGCACGCGATATTCAACATAAAATACCTAGCTGGATCTGAGCTCAGGGGAAATTTTATTTCAAAATAGAAGAATCAAATTTCAAATCAACAAAAGTTATTAATAATGAATTGTGTTGAAAAGCAAAACATGATAAAAGCGTCTTTTCAAATTTCACTGTTATTTTGATGGTGAAATCATAAAAAAATGCCTCTTTATTTTTTCTGAAAAAGTGGGAGACAAGTTGTTTCTCCCAAAAGATTGCCCTTTCCTTTGTCACACATTAACAAGAAGAGTCGAGAAAATGGCTGGTAATGCCTCCAAACAAATCATAGCTGCCTCAGCAAATTCAAGGTAATTTTCAACAGTCATTGATGAAAGTTGTGACAACTTACAATGCTCAACAACCGGTTTACATCAGATGCGTAATAGAAAACTTTGATGTCATATAAGATCTCCTCGGTCTCTGTCAGTTCCAGAACAAAACAATTAGATCAGATATATTTAAAATATTGAAAAAACGTTTAAAAAATTCAAAAACCAGCTCACACATTCTAAATTGAAATAAACTTGTCAGTATTTGCACTGATGGGGAACCGGCAATGGTTGGAAAAAATAATGATTGTGTTTCTGTCCTTGAGAAATCTATGAATAAAAAATTTTTAATCATTGTATTATTCAACAGGAAGTGCTCATGCTCTATAGACATGGAATTTAGTCATATAATTAACACTGTTGTACGATGCACCAATAAAATTTGAGCGATAGCACTTCATAGATGAGAGTTTCGTTTGTTTTTCGAAAATGAAACTAATGAATATGGAGAGCTTTTGCTGCATTGTTTTGTTTGTTATTTATCATAATAATGTTTAGATTTTATTATAAAAAACCCAATTACTAGAGTTTTTGGAGGAGAAGGAGGAGTTGTGATCAGAGTGTGAACTACTGAAATTGTCATCAGATTGTAAACTACTGAAGTTATTACAGTTTGTCATCAGAGTGTACAGACATGCAGACAACTACAGATTGTCATCAAAGTGTGAACTACTGAAATCCTGGTTAAACGATTTGGTTTTTTTAGTCGATTTAATAAACTACCTTACAACAAATACAAATGAAAGCATTAAACAGTCCTGATCTTTTCTCAACCCTTCAAACATTTCAACTTGAAAATTCAATCAGAGTCCTTTAATTTTTCATGACTTTGACCCTGAAAAAATAAATATATTCTTGTTAATTAATGCTTTTTCATTCACAGAAAATAACATAAGCCATTTTTCAAAAATTCAAACGGAAATCATAGATATTAAAGAACACACGGGACTATTGGCAAAGCTTTTGATTTTCCGGAACATATTGACATTGAACTTATATTTGTCAGTAAATTTGGTTCAACTAAAATTTGTGAACAGACATTTTCATCAATGAACTTTATTAAGAACAAGTACAGATCCACATTGACTGAGAATCATTCTGAAAACCTCAAAAATGAATCCTGATATTGATATACGTAAAGAAATCAGCAAAAACATCGTGCATCAGCATCGGTTTAGACAAAAGGCTATGCAAATCATGCATATGTGCAAATAATGGACGTCGTCTATGTTTGTGGTACAAATTCTTTTCATTTTATTTTATATTTATAATCAAGAAAACCTACTGTGTCTTAAAATTTTAATTTTTTTGTTTTTACTTTTTTTTTTTTACATGTAAAACCTGTAAAAACTGTTTTACCAAAAACATTTAATTGAAATCGTTAAAAAAAAATCCAATGCATTAACAAAATCTAAATGTTTTCTAATGTACTTAATTTACTTAATGTTTGAAACTCTAAATTTACTCATTTTGTATTTAATAAACTTTTTTATTATTATGACAACACCATGACATTTTATTCTGGGTTAAAAACCAATAAAAAATTTTTTAAAATAAATTACTTTCTAAACTTTTATATTAATTTTCTAAACGATTAATGAAATCTTTTGCTATATTTTCAAAATACACAACAACCATTTTAAAAACTTAAAAATTTTGCTGTACATAAAATGTTTCACATTTGTCATTTTCAACAGTGTGATACTTTTGCGAATAATTATATTGATCTATATTATAATTACCAGTATACAATAAAGTGTCATACGGGGGCAGCTCATAACTAACGACAATAGGAACGCGTTGTTGATCGTCATCAATTATCCTAGAAGTTCTAAATACCGAAATGAAAATACTTAGAGATGACGTCATTATTCCAAAACATAACATGCTTATTCCGCATACCAGTAAAAGGTCTTTATAAAAGAAGGTATCGTTTTTTTCAGCGTTGTTCTCAAACGTGGTATACATAGATGGCATCATGCACGCGTAGGCTATTAGCAAAATTCCAATTGCTATAACAACTAAAGAAACAATAAAAATAAAGCAGACACTTTTGTTTCTCATACAATAGTATCGATAGCATTTAAAAAACAGGGTGCTCCCATCATTTTCTTTTTCGTACATTTTATGATGAAAAATTCGCAAAATGCCAAGTCTTTTTTTTAAATTCTTTTCCTCTAACATTGACATTCTTCATTGAATTGCAACATTGAGATGCAAGTATTATTCATCTATAAAAAAAAATAAGTTTTGAAAACCTTTTTTTTTTTTTGCATTTAACAAGCATTGTCTCAAATTGGCGTGAGCAGTTTTGTGTATGTGTGTGATTAATTGTTTAAAAATAATGACTAATGACAAACAATACATTTATCTTAAAAAATAATTAATAATTTTTTTTATTTTGCTATATTTTTTTGAAAACATTTTCAACTGCACAAGTTTTATACAGTTTGCAATTTAGAAATTTTGATATTTAAAAACAATAATGCATTTCAATAACAAATATTAAACCAAATGAACGTTTTAATGCACATGACAATACACCGCCAGTTATACATTATTTATAAAATGTCATGTGAAATAAACAAATTATAAAGTTTTCTTTATTTAAACAAGCGCAACTTTAGTACTTATTTTCTATATCACGTGTAAGGTTCTTTTTTTTTAAAAACTTTTTAAAAACATTTAGGACATGTGCGAGATGAAACTAATAACCTATTGCACCTGGACAAAAGATAGAGAGATTGTAAAAACACATTGGTATTTTTTTAATTTTTAAATTATTTATGAATTGCGCTCTCAAATTTTATTCCATAAATTTGAGCTTATTAATTTATAATTATAACTTCTTGAAAAGAAAAAACAATGAAGCACCTCTTTTTAAGCTAAATGTTTTTTTAAACGCGTCTGTTAGTAATAAACAACCTTATGATTGTTATGATTAAAAAATAAATTTAAAAGTAGTTAAGTATTATGCAATAATATATGCAATAAAAATAACCGCTGGCGTAAATACATCCAAATGAAAAGTTATTTTAAAAACGATGAATTTAGAAATATATATATATATATATATATATATATATATATATATATATATATATATATATATATATATATATATATATATATATATATATTATATATATATAAATACACACACACACACACACACACACACATATACACCCACGTACGCACACATACACACACGCACACACATAAATATATATATATATATATATATATATATATATATATATATATATATATATATATATATATATATATATATATATATATATATATATATATATATATATATATATAATGCCTAGAATCGTTAAACAAGTACACATCCGCCAACATTAACTTTTTTTCATTACACTTGAAATCTGTAAATAAACTAAACACATCAAGAATTAATTTTAAAATATCGATCATATATAAAGTGTAAATAGTTCACCTTAAAACAATTTAACTTCCGCATTCATATATGGTTATATAAGATTCACGTTTAACTGCGAAATAAAAAAACATCGTTTAAATTTCCGCTGTAAAATATAGCAATTATGGTATAATAAGCTTTACTTTAAGCAAAAAATATTCTTCAAAAATTTAAAAAAAGAAAAAAAAACTATATAAAAATGCGATAAAAAATAGCAACCTGTATTCTTTAAACTATAAGTTTGATTAACGTAAGATTAATTAACCGGAAAACGTAATTGTACAACGTTAAAGAAATTGACAAACACAATTATTATCATTACTAATGTTAATGTAATATGTAGATATAAATAATCATTACTTGCTGTTCGATTGATGTATTGATTTAAAAAATTACAATAATAGGTAAATATAATTAAAAAAGGAATACTAAATGTTTTTATAATACTCTGACAACCATAAATTCAAAAACGTGATCTTCGCGTTACTCGATGATAAAATGCTTACCATTGCTAAACTTAAAACCAAGCAAATTTAATACTTACTTTTTCCGTGTCAAAGTATTAACTCATTTAACATATTTTTTTTCTCAAAAAAAGTCGAGTTAGCAACCGTTTTGTTAAAAATTACGTTAAGCTACCGACGGCTTTCGTAGTCTAAGAATATTTTGTAAAGAAATTGGTTTCTTAGGAAACAAAATGTGGAAACAGATGAAAGACTAAATTTTTATACCACGAGACTTTTTAATTGATAAACATTGATTAAAAAAAATAAACTTTAAATTCAAAATGACAGTTTAAATTTTTGAAACTTAAAAACTTCAAAATGACAATTTAAACTTTTGAAACTTAAAAAAATTTAAAACTTTAAATGATTTATTTTAGATAGCTTTTGAAAATAGTTCTGTAGGTCTAAGTTAAGATTTTATATTTGACTAGTTATAGATTTAATATTTGACCGCCAAACAAATTTATCAAAAAACAAAAGGATATTAAAAAATGTGTTACGAAAGAAAGATTAAAATAAATTATCGAATAATAATCAAGAGAGTCTTTGAACTAAAAAACCTTCCGGTGGGAAATTGGCTAGCGAATAGCCAGCTATAATCGTATCGATAAAGACAGCGATTTAGCCACGAGGATCACTAAGTTAGCGAAAAGCTATCGGTATTTGTAAAGATAAAGACAGCAATTTGGCTACGAGGACACCTGGCTTAATAAGCTAAAGACCCACTGGCTATTGTAGCTAGCGTCATATCATAATAAAATCGCTGTCTAAAAAATTTTTAATATGTAACTATCAACCAGCTTTAGATTTGTAGATATTTTGTAGCTAGCTTCAAAGCTACGATATGTAGCTAGCGACACATTACTACAAAATCGCAATGTTTAAAGTTCAGTTATTCTCATTATTATAATAGGCTGAACACTGAAAGTCGAATTTTTAAAGATGTTAAAGAAAAAAAAATCGCTATAAAATCGCTATAAAGCTAGCTAGTTGCTCGCTAGTCGCTACCTCTTTTCCCACCGGGTTTAGACCAACTTAAAATGTAGTTTAACCGATGTTAGCTTGTAGAATTGTTATCGTCGAGAATAGGTTAAAAAAAAAATGAAGTTACAGTAATTCTTGTTCCAAATTCAAGATATTCTCAGTATCCTATCTATATATCCTAATAAAGTTAAAAGTAACACCTGGTTATACTTTGGTTTCAAACCAAAACGGCTTCGTTTTATTAACATGTAACATCTGATTGTTACTTTCTTTAAATGGCACTTCAACATTTTGTTTTTTAATCTAAAATAAAAACAAAACAAATACCACAAGTTAGAGTTAAATATTAACGTTCAAAGAATACCTTATCGTTATATTATTATTAGTTGAAAAGCAAGTAAGACGATTTAAAGAAAAAAAAACAACTAGTAATTGTTATAGAACAAGACCCACCTTCGACATAATTAATCAGCGACAGTACTTTTTTAAAAAATTTTTATGAAATAGTAATAAAAAAAAGGTTTTATAACGAGATAAACTAATTCTTTTTTTTTCTTTTTATCATCTCTTGGTATTTTATTTTTTTTTTATTTTGGTATTTTATTTATTTTGGTATATTATTTTACCATTTTTTTACCATCTTTTACCTTTTTTTACCATCAACTAAAAGCTTTAAAAAATTAATTTTCCGTCTGTTTTCTCATTAAAATTTTCAAGTATTAAAAGTTGACGTGGCTAAATAAAAAAATAGTTTTTTTTTTTTTTTTTTTCATAAGCCATTCAAAGTTAGGCACACTGTAATATAATTGATTTTGTTATTAAATAAAAATAAAAAAAAACTGAATACTTTCGAAAACAGGTTATAAAATGACCATAATTTTTAAATCAAATCATCACAAATAAATATTTTTGGCACTGTATTAATTCTCCAGTTTGCTGTAATATCAGGTTTAAATTCTCCAGTTTGCCAGATTTAAATTTTTTTAATGTTCTTTTGTTGAGCTTTTTTTTTACCTATAATTTTATTTTTGATAAAAATCACTAAAGATTTACGCATCTGTCAAATTACCGATTTTGTTGACTTTAATAATCATCATATTAAATAAATTATAAAATCTCACAAAATATTTCCATGTAGAAAAAATAGAACAAAACGTTTACTTAATAAAACATTCTTAAAAAAACTTTACTTTTCGTTTATACACAGCTACATTGCATACTTGTAACATTATAACTGGATTAGTACTAATCACACAAAACTATAATAAATTTCTTGTAAACTAAAAAATGCTTGCAAGATAATATTTGGGGCAAAAAAAAGGGCATACTGTTAATCTCTCCTATGTAAGCTTTAAAAATTCATAAACTTGATATTCACTAAGTAATACTACTTATGTTGTTGTTAGGCTTGAGCAGCAAACTCGAGGTGGGGGTGAATGTAAATAAGATACAATGTGCGCCATAAATAAAAAGTTCGACTCCAAAATGTTTTTTTGAGCCACCCTAGCATTCTATTCACAATTGATGGAGCTGGCTCTACTTGCGGTCTGAAGTTAAGGTCTTTGGAGACCATCACACTAAGGTTTCGTTCAACTACAGTCTTTTCGAGTGGATAACGCGTGCCATAAACGTTGGTCTTTGAGTAATTGCGCGTTGACTTATTACATGCGCGGCCAACATGCATTACTTTGCATTTCTCAATGTGTAAATGTATGTGTCATGTATGTAAAATGAGTCAAATATGTGACCATTCCACTGCTCTGTCAATGTCAGCCTGGAGAATAATGCTATCCAACTCATTTTTAATTATGCCAATAATTTTGCTGTCGTCGAAATACACTTTCATATGATGACTAATGCTGTCCGGCAGGTCATTAATAAAGATTACGAAGAGCAATGGTCCAAAAACCGAGCCTTGAGGCACACTACTAGTGACCGCTTGCCATTAGGATGAGATGGCGTTGATGATAACTCGTTGACCTCGGTCGCGTAACCAAGCTGAGATCCAGTCTAAGAGCGTGCTTTGAATACTGTAGGCTCTAAGTTTATGAAGAAGGCGTTTATACGGCACTTTGTCAAACGCTTTCGCAAAGTCTGTGTATATAACGTCTACTATGAGGCTGCAATGAATAGCTTACGTCATGATATCCAGAGTTTCTAACAAGTTTGAGACGCAACCCTTGCAATGAACAAAGCCATGTTGCTTTGGAGTAATTAAGTCATTAGCATCATATTATAATTGTTTTAAGAATACTTTCTATCATTTTGCACGAAATGGATTTTCAAGAAGGATCTCCTTCTTGAAAAATAGACGTTACATTCAATTTTCTCCACAAGTCGGGGACTACACCAGTTGCAAAAGAGCACTTACAGATAAGAGAAAGAGGTTTGGCATAGATAGCTGCACATTTACTGAGGACCCGTGGTTGTAAACCGTCGTAGCCGGTTGATTTTCTTTCATCAAAGTGTTGAGGCACTTTTCTACTAAATCGATAGAAAAACTTGCTGGGTCGACAACACAAATTGCTTCAGTACAACTTTAAAAAACTGGCATTGGACCTTTGGGCTCCAAAACAAAAACCGAATGAAAATAGTTATTCAACAATGAGCATATATCGCTGGTATCGGTAGTGATGTTGCTATTAGCAACTGAAAATAAATCAAAATTAAAAAAATCATACTTAGTTGTCTTGAGTAGCAATTACCATGCTGTAATACCTGTCAGCTTGCTGGAAAAAAGGTTAAAATTAATCTTAAGATAATTGTAAACATTTTAATTTTTATTTTGTGTCTAGCTTATGAAGAGGGCCTTATTGACCTATAGTTTTACTTGTGATTTCTCTAGTTTTTTTCTTCAGGTAAATCAAAATAGTATCTTTTTTTTATTTTATGTAATGATATCAAAAAAAGAAAAATTTTTATTCCTGTAAGATAGCAATTGAATTAAACAAGCATTTCATCTCAGCTGGATCAAACCTATAGGTTTGGTCCAGCTGAGTCATGGTCAAGACTTGCTATAACAAAAAACTTCACTGAGTTTTTATTTTCAAAAACAGCAAGACTTACTCCAGTGAAGTATGTTTAAAAGAATTTGAAGATGCCTTTAGAAAAGTTAAACATAATAAAGTAATTGGAACAAATGATATCAAAAAAAACGTCGTTATAAATTAATAATTTTTTTTTTTTTTAAATCTTTTTAAAATCTTTAATCTTACAGTACAGTAAATACTTTTGAAAAAGCTGAGAAAAATCTTATATAAATTATATATAGGTTATTATCATTTAAATAGATTATGAAAAATAAATGAAGATGATTTCGTTTTTTAGCACAAAACTTCAAAATTAATTTCATTAGCTTGATAATAGTATGATTAGTTTAAAACATTTTCTTTATTAAAAGCATCGTGTAAGTTAGTCAATCACATGAATTAACAAAACGTATTATAATACGTTTTGTTAATTCATGTGATTGACTAACTTACACGATGCTTTTAATAAAGAAAATGTTTTAAACTAATCATACTATAATCAAGCTAATGAAATTAATTTTGAAGTTATACATATAGCACGTTTTGTTAAGTCACCTGATTGAGTTACGATAAAGATCTTTATCGTCAACAGAAACATGTAATATTACATGTTTCTGTTGACGATAAAGATCTTTATCGTAACTCAATCAGGTGACTTAACAAAACGTGCTATATGTTTCTGTTGACGATAAAAATCTTTGTCGTCAACAGAAACATACAGTGCGTTTTTTTAATTCATGTGATTGACTAACTTGCAAAAATGTAAATAAATTTGAACTTTGTTTTGTGAAAAAAGTCATCAAAATCATCGACATTTCGTTTTTCATAACCTATATATTATAAAGCCAAATAAAAAAATGATTTATTGAATGATAATTTTTGTATGAACCGATTTCAAAACTAATATTAGCCTATTTTGTGTGTATATATATATATATATATATATATATATATATATATATATATATATATATATATATATATATATATATATATATATATATATATATATATATATATATATATATATATATATATATATATATATATATATATATATATATATATATATATATATATATATATATATATATATATATATATATATATATATATATATATATATATATATATATATATATATATATATATATATATATATATATATATAAATTGAAAATATAGTAAAAATCTATTCTCTGTAGATGCTTAATTAATCAAATTAAATTTTAAAAAATTTATCAAAATAATAAAAAATTAATCAAAGTTTCATGACTAATTATTATTTAGATAAATAATTCTATAGTCGCGTCTTATGTTTTTGCCGTACCGCAAAATGGCGGACGCTGGCTTTACTAAGTTATAGGCGAGTCATGCATCTAGTTAGTCATTAGTCATCTAGTACGTCATTTTCCCAGACTAAAATTCTCTAAAAAAATTATCCGCCCAGATAATTTTTTTTTGAAAAAATTGGTCTGAACAAGATAATATTGGTCCGGAAAGCATTTTTAGTTTATAATTTAGTTTGTATATGCGCTTTTTAATATTATCGCGTAAGATGAACTGTTTCAAAACATTTTTATTTATTTAACTATAAAAAAATACCATGATAGAGCTTTGGATAGCGAAAAAAGAGTAATTATAAAAGAAGCTTCGAAGTTTTTTGTTTCTGAAAGAGTTATTATACAAGTATAAAATGAAAGATAAGGTAACTCGATACATTTTATAAATGCTTTAATTGTTCAAGAAGTAATTAAATACATAATCATTATTTACTAAATAAATAAATTATTATTGTAATAATTATATCAATCAGATATAGTTTTTTCATTTTTTTAAGCTTTTTAATTTAAGCAACTTTAAAATTTTTATCTCATTTTAAAATTTAAATAGTAAATTTAAATAGTGATTGTTATAATCTGCTATAAAACTAAAATTTTATCATTCAATTTTTGGTATTTACGCCAATGCTCATTTAATAACATCATAAATACCAAATATTTATTAACTAAGTTGCAAAGCAGATACAAAAACATTAACTTTCAAACATTAAGTTATATATTGATTACATTTTTTTAATAAGGGCTCGTCCATAAACTACGTCACTCCATTTTTGACATTTTTTTACCCCTTCCCTCCCACTCGTAACGCAACCGTAAGACTTTATTGCCCCCCCCCCCTCCAATACTACGCAATAATATTGTTTCTTCCCGCTAAACAAAAAATTTGCAAAAATTTACAAAACACAAAACGATTTAAATATAATAATGTCTATAATTCTCTGAGCTTCTTTGAGTTAATTAATTAGTACTTTTCAGTCTGTTGAATGTTTTTTTTTACCCCAATAGTTCCGTGTAAAATTTTATAAATTAACATCGCTATTCTAAACGTGATACTAATTTTAAAAACCTATTCTTCCGATATATAATACTTGCAAAATTTTATATATGTAAAATATAATAAATTGTACATGAAAAAATATTATTTTATAAATACAATTTTTTTTTAACTTGTAAGCGAGGTCCAGTGGATTCTGCTTCCGGCTAATAAATTGCTGAGTTATTTAACAAAAACCCAATTTAAATGCAAAAAAAGTGTTTTTACAATGACAACAATGCATTTTCACACCCACGGAGTGTGCTAAATCGATTCAAAACTAAATTTTTTATTAGAAAAGGTTTTTTTTGCGACTACTGCACTAAGTCCAGTTAAGATATCAATTATAATCTAAAGGGCGGAAGTTAATGTTGGGTTTTCCCCGCATTTATATCAAAATGAAACAAGGAAACGTTCTATATCTTCGCAGACTTTTTTCTTTGTGTAGAATTGAATTCTGAGTTAAATGGCAACACGCGGAATGTCACCCCATCAATACCTGCCGAGTTATTAAACAAAAACTTGATAAAAATGCAAAAAACTCGTTTTTACAACAGCAGCAATGCATTTTCACACCTGCGGAATGTGATTAGATTAGATTTTTGTAGCCAGAATTAAATTCGTTAAGAAAATAAATGTGAAATTTATATAACGACAATAACATAGAAACTAATGGAAGTTCTTTATATTTTTAATCGTCTTTAATCATTCTATTCAAACTTTCTGATATATTATTTATTGGATTTACATTATTGAAAGCTGAAAATCTGTGATATATTAATTTATTGCAACCCACTTTAATGTCATTTTTCAAATGTTTGTCAAAATATTTAAGAAAAAATGCTGACCATTTCAGCTTCAATCTTTCATAATCGTGGTCAAAATTGTTACTTTCACATAGTTCCTCAACATTTGTGAAGTTCACTTTGTAATCATCTTTATAACCTTTTACTGTGCTGATATACTTTTTTACATCTTGAAGAATATGATTTCTGCAAAATAATATGTTCGATGAAATATTTAAGCTTCTCATTATTGAAGTTACAATTGATTTTTCGCCATCTATTAAAATTAGAATATTCTTTCCAAACTTATCCAGTAACAAAAGAAGATATATAAAATTTGATCAAACCATATCGTGCGTTGTTTCATGCTTTCTATTGTGTATTACAAACATCACCGGAAATATTGGTTCTTTTACAAAATCAGTGTTTTTCATAACTAAAATTGAAGCATAAAAATCCCCTAAATTAAAAGTTGTCTTAAGATAAAATTTGTTGTAATGACGGATTGGCACTGCTTTCTTTTATCAGTTTATTAGCGAGTTCCAAAGCTTTTGGATGATCGATAATAAACATCAAGCCACAATGAATAGCAAAGTGATAGATAAAGTCATATAAATCTTGATTAGCTAGCTCTTGAACTCAGTAGATTTCACCATTTGTAATTGTTCGTTTTTTCACCTCGTTGTATTTAACATTTTTTGTTTGCTTGGTGTTGCGTGGTGAAACCGATGCTTCAGCATCAATAAAAGAATAGGGAGTATTTTTTAGGTTATAGTCTTTTTTTTATAGAGTTTAAAAATTTTTGTATAATTTTTGTGGTTCAATATCCAAAGCATTTGTCTTCAAAAGATTTTTTAGAGTTGTTGTTGATTTGTCACAATTGCTATTTCCGCGAGGAGGTGAAACTGAAGCGCGATGATCTCCAAAATAGTGAACTATCACTAAAGGCATGTTGCTTACAAAAACTTATTTTTGAAAATCATTGTTGTATTCATTTGTTTTGCCAATAATAAGTTTTTGTTATACCAAATTGTTGGTTTAACAAAATTCATTTTTCAATTCAAAAATCATTCTCCCAGTGTTTCGAAATCGATAATGATCGCATAAATAATCATCTTCAAATTAAATTTTGAATCAGTTTAGTACATTCCGCGGGTGTGAAAATGAATTGTTGTTTTTGTAAAAACGGTTTTTTTCCATTTTGATCGGGTTTTTGTTTAATAACTCAACTGGTATTGGTCGGATGCCATTCGACTCAGAATTCAATTGTACATAAGAAAAATTTTATCCGCAGGTGTGATATTCAATTTAATCTCTGCATTTTAGGAACTACATGAAAAACTTTCTGCATTCAACCAAAGACAAAATATTTTTAAGTATTTAATGCTTCGTAATTATCTATAGCCTCACGAGAAAATATTCAAGGAAGTAGTATTGAACTCATGGCCATTCAGTTTGATCATCTTTCCAAGTATTCGCGTGGAATTTATATAGACATCGGTTGATTCCAAGGATTGCAAGTTTATTTATATAGGGGAGAGCGGGGTTGGTTGTCACACTTTTTACATTTTAGGCTGCTCAGCTTTTAATTTTCATCCAATCAATGCCAAACTTTGCACAAAGCTAGTTTAACTAGTTTAAATATTTTTATGACATTGAGTGAAATATTTATTGCTGTAAAATCATTTTTCAAAGACCACTTCTGTGTGACAACTAGCCCCGCTCACGGGGTAAGTTGTCACATGGTGCGGGGTTGATTGTTACATTTGGATTTTGACAAGTTTAGATAAGAATTTAATGTAAAACGAGTACAAATTAATTTCGTTTATGTTTTACTAAGAAAAATAAAAATAAAGTACTATAAACTGAAATATATATATTTTAAATATAACACAATTAACAAATTTAGTTTATCACTATAAATGTTTTTAGGTTTGGTTTTTTAAAAATTATTGGATAAAGAACACAATTCACAAATAAACTGTTGTAAGCCTGGTGTGCATTCTTCATGAGCCCGTTTTTGGCAAACCTGACATTGAATCCACTGTTCTCTTGATCGGCTGTTGGAAAAAGATTCAAAACAATAGATGCACTAAATATAAACAATGCACAAACAAAACAACAGACAGTTTTACAAACTAAACAACAGCTAGTTGTTTAGTTTGTAAACAAAACAATAAACAGTTGAACTTCTGCAATCCTTTTTCTATAATTATACTAAGCATTGGATCGGAATCTAAAGTTATGCACGTTGAAATAAAAATAATTTAGATTACAGATATTTAGTTAAACAAATATAACACTTTGACTTTAGATTTTTAAATAATATCTTAAACATTAAAATATTCCTCAATAATGCGGAAAATAAACAAAGCCAATAAAAAATCTGCAAGCGGCGTTTAATTTGCAGCGCATGGAGTCGAGGCAAGTGTGACAACCTCCCCATATACTTTGTGACAAGCAACCCCTTCTGAGTAAGTTGCTGGACACCTGTACATTTACCTAAAAGCGTTAGAATTTCATGATAATTTTTTACGGATTAAGTTACTCAAATGAATAAAGTACTTTATAAATCTACATTCAAAACACAATAAAATAATTTTCGTTTGGTAAAAGAAAATTTCTGAGTAGGCGAAATTTTACTTTTTCATATCAAAAACCTTTAAAAACGAATAACTTTTCTTCTGCACGCTAAAAAAAGATAAAAATTACTGTAATATTACTGTAATACTGTTATAAACTTTGTGACAACCAACCCGCCACGGTCGTTCAGACTTACTAAATAAGTGGAAAGTTATTATACGCAAGCGCAGTAAATTTTGCATATTTTAAAAGTTTTAAAAATGGCTACGGATAACGAATATAAAAAAAATTCTCATTGACAACGAGCTATTTTTCTAATTTTTAGCAATTAAATATGGATTTAGCCGTTTATTAAAAGGAAATTATAATAAAAGTAACTTCTAGTACACGATAAAATGTTTCAAATTAAATATAAAACCTCTAAAAACGAATAAAATGTAATTACAGCAATAGCTTTTTTAGTGTGTTTTGTTTATCGTTTTCAAATTGTTTTTAAAAATGACTTTTAAAGATATATGTGTGTATATATGTATATATATATATATATATATATATATATATATATATATATATATATATATATATATATATATATATATATATATATATATGTATATATATATATATATATATATATATATATATATATATATATATATATATATATATATATATATATATATATATATATATATATATATAAGGTATGTTAGTGTATTTTAAAAATAGAGTGCTATAACAGAGACAAAATTAGATGTATTTTTGCTAATTTATTAAAATTAACAAAAACACATCTAATTTTGTCTTTGACAGACAGGCAGGATTGTTTTTATTAATACATACATACATACATAATAGATGTATGTATATTTTATTAATTATTTTAGCATATATTACATACATATTTAAATATGTATGTAATATATGCATGGATGCAATATAGTTATTTGCAGTTATTGTGGTT